CTCTCCTTTCTCCTCTCTCTCTTTTCTCTCTCTCTTTCTCCAGTACACTGTCTCACTACACAGCTCAGACTCATAGTAATCCTTCTGTCTCAGCCTCCTCAGTGCTGGGATTAGAGATGTGCACCACCATTCCCAGTTTTGGTGGCCAGCACAGTGCAGAGCTGGCACGGCATGAGGTACCAAGGACTGAACCCAGGTCCTTGCAGTTGCCAGGCAGATGCTTAGATTGATGAGCTATCTCCTCTGTCCTCTGCCCTAATTTTATAACATCTAGTTATTACCTCTTCATCTAATCTAGCAAAATTTTGCCAAATGCCTACTGAGCATGGAACATCTCCTGTGAGATGCTGAAGTGTTTAACATTATCATGTCCTAGAAAAAGTCTGACCAACAAGCAGAAAATGAATCCACCAACAGTGACTAAAGTAGCAGGGCCAGAGGCACAGCCAGCTCACAGGGAGGGTTTGGGAAGGAAAAAGTCTCATTTTAAGCTCTGGAGCTAGTAAAAGCGTTGCCCAAGTAGTCAGACTGTTCGCTACGTAGGGGAGGGGAGGAAGAGGATGCTAGGACAGCATCCGCAGGGGACAGGATGAGCACTGCAGGGGGCATAGCAGGCAGACAGGCTGGTTGGAAGAGGAAACATGAAAGTGAGAAAGATGCTAGGAGATGAGGCTGCATGACAGTTATGGAGAGAAACTGACCCTGAACTGCAGGGAAAGCAGCCTGAAACTTTCAGGTCCTAGAGCTTTTGTATCTTGTTCTGTCATATCACCAACTCGTCATGCTGTTATTTCTAGGCCATGGAGCTGGAAGAATAACAGTAAACTGGTCTTGCACCTACACATTGAAGTAATTTAAACATGGTTTTCCCACCTTGGGAGTGTATGTGCTGAAAGCCAAGTTGGCCCAGGCTTATGCAAGCCTTCCTCTGCTCCAAGGTTCTGCTCCATGCTCAAGTTTCTTTGTTGGCTGGGTCTAGAGTTCCCAGTTTGCTCAATGAGCAAAAAAGAAATGTCATTGTTTGGCATGTTTATATGGTTATTTAAGCCAACAAATCAGGAGAGGCCACATTTTAAGAATGCAAGCAATAAGTTCACTTTTGTTAAAAATCAGTCTATTGAGAACCTTTGCTCCAGTCCTACAGCCCTGTATATCTTTGTTCTCTGCCTGCTAATATTCCAGCCCCTAAAGCAGGGGAAAGTTTATGCCCTCAAGTTCAGGGTTCTGAGGATTTTAGTAACATTAATATTTGATGTCAAACCAGATCCTCCATCATTTACCAGCTGAGTTCCTGGGGAATGGGACCCACTCAAGATTCATGATAGGTAATTCAAGAGTCAGAAATAGAAAAAATTTACCTCAGGAATTGGGCAATCCGAGCCATGATGGCCCCAGTCCCAGGCTGAAGCACATTTCCTGTGGGGGAAAAATTTATTCAGTGCCTCATGGTTCTCTGGGCGTTGTGGTATAGCTGTAAGTATCAGAAAGAAGACATTCCAGATCTTTTTTGAGGAATTTGAGCCCTCTACAGGCTTCTTTGTGTTACTGGAATTTCAGGGTCTGGAACAAGGGAGCTGGCCACCAATAGCTTGCTCTGTTGCACAGAAGTCCTAGTGCTAGGGGGCTCCAAGCCAGTTTGCCCATGGACTCTGCTCTTCAAATCAGCATGAGCTATGCACACAGCCTGACCTTCATGGCTAGGGCCTTAGACAATTTTAGGGGAAAAAGAACACATGCAAAGCTCCAATCTAACAGCGCTGGTCCTATGGAGGATTGAAATGAGATTCTGAAAATGCATACTTTCCAAATATCTTCAAAGCTTGCCCTGACTCCAGAAAGAAGGGGCTGGGATTTCCTACCCAGTAGTGGCATCCACGAGCTGTAACTGTGCTCTATATTATTATATTTCAAGAATATAGGTGTAAGGATGGGAGTAGTGTTGGAATGCAGGTCAGGCCCTGGGTTCATGTCCTAGCTGTTAGGGTAATTTTCCTGGGTCTTGATTTTTCAATCTTTGAGGGCCATTCTGATGGTGTTCTGTTCCCACCGCGGCACAGGTAGGATGGTGAGGAACCTTGGAATCCTCCCTCCTGCGGTCTTGAAACCGGTGTAGGTAGGGGAATTTCTGCTTTCCATCATATTTAATAAGCAGTATCTTCCTGTGGGGTGAACACAGTGCATCTGATGTTAGGGTTAATAAGGTTGGCTCTCAGAAGACCACACTGAAAATGTTGGAGTCCATCATAGGGTCGCTCAGTGAGCACTGGGGTCAGAACGTGTGGAAGGAGGACCCAGAAGCAAGGTGAAGACAGAGGGCCCAGTGCAGGGCGTGGGTGGGGCGCTTACCCACGGAGATGTCTCCTAGCTGTTTGGGATTCAGATTCACATCCCGGAGAACCGCGCTCAAGACAGCTGACAGCAGCTCATCGGGGGTGGTGTCCTGCAGAGGACGCGCGGGCGACGGTGAACCCCCTTCTCACATCCCCACACCAAAGGGACAACATAATTACAGCGTGGGTGCCGACTGCTCAGACCCCCCCCGGGGGGAAGGACAACAAACAGGTGGCTGGAACTCCGGTCGCCCAGGTACACCTTCTCATCCCGGGAACTCTCCCGAGGGGCCTTACCTTGAAGCCGCCGCGGCCAGCTCGGCCAATGGCCGTGCGTCGTCCGTGCACCACCACCACGTCCTCGGCCGCAGCCTGCGGGAAGCCACCGAGGCACTGCGCAGCCTGCAGCGAGGGGCCAGACTCCGGACTGCCAGAAAGGTGGCCCAGCACTACCTGCATCCTCCACATGGCACTGCTGTCTGTGTTGACCAATCTTGGGTCTGGGACCGGACTCAGGGACTTTAAAAAGGATCTCCCGCGGAAGCAAGGAATGGCCACACAGGGTCCCGCCCACCCTGCCTCAGCCAATCAGGAGGACGTATGTGTGAGGACGTGCCCCACCGACAACCCCCCCCCAAAGCCTCATCCCGGACACAGATCCAAAGGTCTTTCCACCTACAGCCCAGCCTAACCTGGCCTACTTGGCTCAGTCAGTGGTTGGCTTTCCTGAAACCCCGACCAGGAATGCTGACCTGAAACAACACCATCCCCAACCTTTGAAATTAAGGTGGAGACATGACTGTAAAAGTGGGGCTGATTTCTCTGAATGGACCCAGACACAACCGAAAACTGGTGCTCCAAAGTCCTGTCCACTGCTGCTGCCACACCGAAGCCAGGGCCACCACGATCCTTGCCCATGGATTCTTGCTGTGGGTGGAGCAGGAGGTCGGACTCTTAATTCCTGTTCCCCCTTCCTATCCGGTTTGGCAGTTCCCGCCTTTCCAGCACCCAAGCCAGAGGATCTAAAGACATTTCGGACATGCCCCGTAGTCCTCTGATCTAGTCACACTCTCCCAAGAAATGTTTCACTGAGAAGGCTACCTAGGATCCTTGGACGCACAGAGAACAGATTTTACAAAGGTGCCACAGTGAGACAAGCTCTCCAAATGAAGAACCTCTCACATTTCTTATACTAATTTTACACTCCTTGGGAAGAGTCGTTAGACCCCCACATACACTTCCTGCTTCGTGGGAGGGCGCTCCCCAAGGCAGGGACCGTGATTGGCACTTACAGGTGTACAATAGATATCTGTTCAGTGAATGAACTAAGTCTGGACTGTGACCCCAACCCTGAAGAGCAAAGCCAAGTGTCCGTTGCCTGCCAATGACAGGGCCAGGTGATTATCTGAGATGAGAGAGCACTGTTAGGTTTGTGGCAGACACCAAAGGACAGGGTGCCCTGTAAATCCCAACCTTAGGAGGTAGGACCACCAAGTGTTCAGACTCCCGAACACAATGTGCCATTTGCACTGCCACCTCAGAGTGCGTGGATGTCTCTCCCCATTCTCCTTCTGGCAGAATTGTGTGCTCCTTGGATTTCCAGGAGACAAGATCTGGTGCCTTCTACCTGGCCCCCTCCCCATCATCCTCTACGGCAGGACCATATGAACCCCGATCCCCAAATGGAAGGAATGTGATTTCAAGGAGCAAGATGTTTCCTACAACTCCTGAAGCAGTGTTATAGAACTCCTGAACAGGATCCTCAAGTGTGTGTATGTTGGGTTTCAACATCCAGCCAGCTGGAGACCTTGAGACCAGAGACCTTGGACCCTCTAACTATTACTAGATTGTTGGATCTGCCTGGACAAGCTATCTGCAATATGTCTGTGTTGTGTTGGGGTCCTAGCTCTTGGATCCTCTTCTTTAAGAAAACTTCAAGAAAACTTCTGAGATCTTGGGAAAGAAATTCAGTTAAAAGTTGTGGGTTTAGCAAGCCAACTCATTGGGAATCAAGGATAATGTAACTTGCAACAAGTACTTTAAGAACGCAGTGTACTTCTAAGAAGGGAAAGTGGGCAATGCTGCTTCCACACTGGTGCCTTCTTGCCATCTTGCGTCCCCTTTCCTCCTCTTTAGAGGGCAGAGAGGAAAGCCAGGTGAATGCTCCCTGGATGTCCCACCTTGACTCTGATTCCCTAATGTGCCCCTGTGGACTTAAGGTTGATTCTCAACTCACTTAGGGGATGAGTAAAGCCTACTTGGGGGTATGTCTGCGTAGATCACAGGCAAGTGATTTGTGGTCTATATCTGTTTCCTGACCCCACTCTTTTCAGTTTCATTTGTTTCCCTGATGCATGAGCTAAGCAGCTTTGCTCCACTGTACCTTTTCATCATGTTCCTGCCCTGTGGCCAGCCAGTCATGGACTGAATTCTGTGAAATCATGGGTCAAATTATACCCCTTCTCCTTTGGGCTGTAGATGTCAGGTATGAAATCTTAGTGATGAAAAGCTGGCCAGTACAGCCCTTCTCATCTGCATCTTTGACTCCTCCCAGTCTTTGTCCTCACCTCTAATCGTGACAAGTCCCCAGGATTCTGCCTGAGCAGGTGGGACTGCTTTCCATTTCTGCCTATGTGGACACACCTCATGCTCTGGGGCAAAGTCACCAGGGTGATGTCAGAAGGAAACCTTCTCTCAGAGTCACTCACAGAGAGCTAACTTCCTTGCCTTTTTTGCTAACTGTGACCACAGAAGGGCATCATTCCTGCAGAGTTGTAGGGATGTGACCCCATGACATCTTGCTCATCCAGATATATAAACACACACACACACACACACACACACACACACACACACACACACACACCTGAATGCAAGTACACCTCCTAGGAACAGATGGGTGGGAAAATCCTATCATCCAGGGGCCCTGACTGTCTTCCTGGAAAATAAAGGAGCATCTTGGTTCTTTTCTTTCTTTCCCATAATCATTGAAACCAAAAGCCTGCTTGGACTTGCACAGCAGTTTTTCCTCTCTCCTAAGGCAGTCTTCCAACTGCCCTCAAGCTTTCCATCAGTGAACAAATGTCATGGTCCTAGGTCTCTGTTTGTGGTAGACTCTAGGGCCTAAGTCCAATAGAGAGTGGGTCCCTTCTCTGCTTTGCCCTTGGTGAGGCTGGAATGAAATGCTTTCCTTCCATGTCTTGGAAAGGAATGGAGCCACCCTCTGCACAGTTGTGATGCTGCCCTTCAGGGCCACGTGTCTGGTACTCTTTGATTTGGCCATTTAAAGCAATTTGAGAATGCCTCATGTACTCTGTGAGAATTTCAAAGGCATTAGAGAAAAGCCCATGTTTGTAATGTCTTTATGCATCTCTAGTTTTTC